TTGACGAACCCCGATAAATATACACAGTGCCACTCTTTGGTACATTTGCATTGTTCCTCTCGCAACGCCAAACAATCAGGCAGAAAGTGTTTAAATCTTAAGCAAGCTATTTGGGATTTAATTAACCATCTGGATTCACTTATAAGGATGGCATTGTCTGCAGGAGAATTGTCTTAAAGGGTAGGTTGCCATTGTTCTTCAATGCAAAGGCCCACAATTTCCAGTCTTTAAATTACAGCGATTATTGTACCATCTTCTATCAGCGCCTAGCACCTAACAGACGTATTGCACAATAGCTTACACTAGCTTTTGTTTCAAATCTTGCTCAATTTAAATATTAAACCGTTCAAAAACCAGAAGCATGAAACTGGAGATGTTGGCCTTAAATATCATTAAAGTCCTTTGTAAGTCAATGTCAGTATTTTCTCTTGACTTATTAAAAAGTCTGATCAGAGGATTGAACGCAATGTTTGCTCAAACTTATGCATACAGCGAATAGCTGCTCTGTCTCTCACCTTTACAGGTCATCACAAAACCTCATAACTTCTACAGAACTGATTATATTAGTCAGTGACTAAGAGTGAACCTGTCAATGGAGACAAGAAAACCACTCGGCCCTGGAGGAGAACCATGCATTACAACAACTTGTGACAGAAACATTCAGTTTCCACAAAGTAAAATTTTCCATTACACTCTTCAGGTTCTATGAGATAAAAAAAGTATGTTGAAGGACGCAAACTGTCAGGTGTAAACAGACAGGCTATGGAAAAGTTCCACGTGATGTTCCTACGAGACAGCGTCTCATATGACACGACAGTGGATGACGCCTTCATCCTGTCTTATCTTAAAAGATTTGGAAGATCTTCGCCTGTGACTTAAATATATGCTTTATAACTTGGAAGTATTTCAAACGTGACCTTTAAAGGTTTTAGCATTGAAAAAAAAGGTTTGATCTGGTTAAATAATAGCCGGTTTGAATTTTTGAGGATTTTTGTAAATTTTTTAAAACCGAATCGAGAAATATTTGTTTTTGAGTTTATTATCCAAATCTGTGATAAAACATGACAATATCATCTTGAGCCATTATAAAGTATATTTGATAAGTTATGATAGAAGATAAACACTTGTTCACACACAGCCAATCCCTTTATAAAATCTAGATTAGAAGAAGTTCAGGCATGTTGTAATCTGATGCCTAACTGCAAGCTTTGCAATCATGCTTAGTCTCTCCTGAGGAAGCAACTTGTTTACCGGGTGTTGGCTCCTTATTTCTTCATCTTAAAGTTAATTCTGAAATTTTCCCTGATTATCTTAAATAATAAAAATAAACCTAATTAAATCTTAAAAAGCTAATAAGTTTGGCCCAAAATTGTTTTTAGTGCCAAAAAGAGCCTGAACCTTTAAAGTTTGGGTCATAATGCAGCTGCAAAAGTCGCAAAGGCTCATGTTGACAGATGTGATGCTAATCAAGTTGAAGAATTTTTAAAGTCCATTTTTCTCTGCTGTGTGTCATGTCTCTTAACATCACATTATCTAAAGGTTGGATGGTTGGCTAGGGTCTCATGATGACTGCTTCCCCAAAAGCTGGTGATGGTCAGCAAAAAGTTTGTCAAGATACAGCTGTGATAAATATTTCTTGAAGAAAGCAGCTTTAAAGTCTCAACCTACAAGGATTTAAAGGTTTTGGTTAAAGTTAGACTTTACTTCGACTAAATAACATCAAAATTGCATTTATGATTTTTTTTAGGTAATTTATTGAGTTAAACTCTGTGAAAAAAAAATAAAAAATACAAATTATATATATATATATATATATATATATATATATACAGTATATATACCGGTATATATATAATTTTTGTTTTGTGATCTATCGCAGATTGTCTGTAAAAGACACAACAGCAGGTGTGTACATCAGAATGTGAGGCGGCTTTTAATGGGTTCTTGTATCCCTTTTTAAACACAAATCTGAAACTTTAAAGGTATAGCAGTGCTGTGTGGTCTCACAAGCAATGTGCTTGGTTTCATCTTTTCTACTGAGAGAGTGAGAGTTCAAGAAAACAAGATTTTAATAGAAGAAAATGTTTTGAGATTGAGGTACAATCACAGCTTTAATTCGGGATAATTCAATAATATGACTGACTGTGTGTGTGTTTATATATTATATATATATATATATATATATATATATATATATATATATATATATATATATAGAGGGTTTAAAGCCTGAGGGTTTCAGAAGCAGTTTCCACCTGGAAAAAAAACCAACTCAAATAAACGAAGAATTACTAGTGTGTATGTATGCTCTATTATCATCTATTAAGTCTAAAGCAACCTTTCAGTACTATTGTGCAGGTAAGAGATTAACTAATAGTGTAACCACTATCACAGCTGTTACCATGTTGTCTTTTTTGTTTTTACAAATCAACAGTTAAAACAAACAACCCAAAAACATCTTTTTGAAAGTCTAGGAGATTCAGTGCCTTGCGAAAATATTCAGCCCGATCAAATTTTTAGACCTTTTACCACATTTCAGGCTTCAAACATAAATGTATAAAATTCTATTGTAACAACAAGTGGGACACAATTATGAAGTGGAATAACATTTATTGGACATTTTAAACTTTTAACAAATAAAAAATTTTAAAAATTTGGAGTGCAGAATGATTCGATTATTACAGTAATACTTTGTAGCGCCATCTTTTGCTGCAATTAAAGGTTGCAAGTTGCGTAGGGGATGTCTGTAAAAGTTCCGCACACAAAAATGATCAAGAAATGAACAAAAATGTCTTAAATTAAGTGAATGTACCCTTAATTTGAGCAGGTTAATAATATGATCTGCCAATGGAATGAGTATTTTTACACTAAAAGTAAGATAATTAGATAATATGCACTTGAAATAAGAAAATGCAATGGTTTTTTTATTTTAAATGAAAATTGTCTCGTTCCATTGGCAAAGTGTCGCACTTACCTCAATTCAAGGAAAAATGTGGTTATTTAAAGAAAAAATTTACTTATTGAGATTTCAGTTCTTTGCAGTGCAGAGAGACGATCATTTTTGTCCATTCTTCTTTGGAAAACAGCTAAAGCTCAGTGAAACCAATAAAGGTGTTTGATGCTACTTCACTAAAAGAAAGAAAAAAAATAAAAATAAAAACAATACTAAACAATATTAAATTCTAGGGAAATGAAAACCCATCAAATTATTTGTCCTAAAAATAAGCTTTAATTGATCTTTTTCTTTTTAATGCATACAAAGTCCTTCGCAACTTGTTTACCAGATTCAAAAAGCACTTAATAAAAGCTTAATTTGAAATATGAAGCTAGGCTTCTCTTCCTCTATATTACAGCTTTGATATCCTTCCCTCTATTACAAAAGAAAATAGTTTATCAAAAGCCAGGGAGCTAAACACAAGTATTTCTGTACGCACCAAAGGCATAAAAGCAAAGAAAACCTGAACATGTCTTGAAGAGCAGATTTTGATGAAAATGTTAATGAGAATTTCTTTTTTACAACAAATAAAGAAAGAAAAATTTATACGGTTGTGGCATTTACCTTGTGAGACTAAATGCAAACTAGTTGGAAATGAATTAAGATGAGACAACTGGACTAAACACAACAGATACAAACAAAATCTCGTCTTTCATCCATCTTTATGAAGAAATAAAAACTTATAATTTTATTTAAATTACCAAATGCTAACAAAACAAAACTGAAGTCTCTTTTGTCAAAATGTTAAGCGTGGTAACGATTGTTTAAGGAAAACAAGGAAAAAAGCAGGAAGAATGGAATGTAAAAAGAGGGGGAATTTCCCCAAGAAAATGATATGCTTGGTCAGCGATGACTCTCCAGCATCAAATTTACTGCTGGTAGTCTCCACACCTACCATATGTTTTCAGGATTTTAGGTTAAATGTTAAAATCCTTAAACTTTTGCTTTAGAACCATACTTCTGTTGACTTAATGGAAAGAGGCCAGCTGTCAGAAGCCAGCACTTCTAGTAGCATTCAGAATCAGAAGCTACTGTATTTCGAGTTTCCTTTTGTAGATTTACTCTGTTTTTGTATATTTGACAATATTAATAACAATAGTAAAGATAACCAGAGTAAACTCAAAAAGTGTTTTCAAACAGTGTCACTATCTACTATCTATTAAGAGCAAAAATCATCTAATTTACCTAGACCAGCAAAAAACTGATATGTCCTTTGGGTAATTTTCTCTGAAGATCACTGGTTTCTTGGCTTATTTGTAGCAGCCGCACAAAGGCCTGGTTAATAACAGACCTGTGGAGGCAAGAAATAATAAAAAAAAACAGATCTTGTGTAATGAGGTCAACTACATGGGCTAAAAAAGGAACACAAAGGTTTAAAAAGCCATTTGTCTCCAGTGAACCACACCAAAAAAACAACATCTTGGACAAATCATAATAGCATGGAACAGAAGGGAACCTTTCCAAGAATGCAGTAGAAACTAATCCAAGCGCTTCCAAAGGGACCCAGGTAATAATAATTGAACTAGAAAGGGACAAATGGCATCCTTTGAAGAGTTTGAAAAATATACATCAAGTTTTTCCCAATGTAATTTTTAGGACTTAAAAAAAATATAAATTTTTATGAAAACATATTTAACCTAGTTAGACATGCTGGTGAGAACATAAGACATAAAGGTCTTACTAAAAATTATATTTTAAGGATGTCTGTCTAAAGCTGTATTTAGAATGTGTATATATGATGCCTGTTTCATTATCAATATTTCCTTCAAAGCAAATTTATTTTTTTGGTTGAAATCACCCTCAAGAAAAGAAGTCCACAGAACGAAGGCAAGCAAAATGTCTTTTTTAAAAAAAAAAAAAAAAAAAAAAGAAATTCTTTAAGCACCCCTTCCACCACAGATGGAAACCGGTCGCTTAATGTCTTTACAAAAAGGTTTAAGAAATTATTTTTAATTTTTGATATGTTAGGAATATAAAAAGCAGATATAGCCATTGTTAAGTCTAAGCCTAGGTCTCCATGTTTCAGGTCTCCTATTTTTTCAGGCAAATCAGTGAACAGGTAGGTTTTGTATCAGGTTTCATTTAGGCAAACTTTTGTTCGGTCCTGACCTTCTGTCTGTTGGGGTGAAAATGCGTCTTGGTAGGAATCGCAGCAAAAATCTGCTGATTTTTAGTCACTTAAGGTTGCAAGAAAATGAAAGCTGAGCTAATTGCAGGAAACTAGGAGCATTAATCATCCTAATCTTTCTTTAATTGGTCTTCGGTTGTAACGTGTCTTTTGTTGCAGTGCACCCTAGGTCATTAAGAGGATGGCAGCAGGACAGCTTAAATTATAGTGAAAGCCAGGGAATGTCTATGAGGAAATAAAAGGTTAAAAAATACTAAGAATAAGGTAAAAAGAAATAGAGTAAAGTCTGGGGAAAAGCTGTGCTTAAGTGAATAATTTTATTTATTAAAAATATAGTATAAATAAATACAACACTTCTCTTACATAGTAAATTTGAACACTTAGTTTCAACTGGGATACATAAATGATTCTTTTCAGTACAAAATCATATCACATCTACAAGATTTGCAGTGTTTCTACCAAACAGCAGCCATTAAATGTTACCTTTCCTGCAGATCACAACAGAAACACTTACTTACAGCAAACAGTTCATCTAATCAGAGCGTCTATAATATGACAGACACTAGGCTGACTTTTGTCAAGTTAGATAAAACGAGAGCTTTTTACAGTCTTTAAAAGCTTGTTGTTTCTCTCTGACACTTTCAGTCACTTTGTTGATAAAAATAAAACCTTTTAATTGTCAGATACATAAAACCCCAACTGTACAAGTTGTGGTTTGTACTTTATTAACAATTTCAAATAGTACTATGTAGTTCAATCTATACTGTATATTAATTCAATGCCTACATGATAACATAACCATAAAGTAATATAAAGTAAAACCATATAAAGGGCATATCTACGTGACTAAAATGTTTTTTTTTTATCCTGTTAATGTTTTGTAATGTTCACTGATATTAACCACATGCTGCAAATGTAACACCTGCAACTAAAAAATACCTGAGGTAACAAAATAAACTGTTATATTTATGTAACCCATAAAACTAATATAAAATCTGAACAATTGATTGAAATACTTTGACCATCAATCTTTGTGTAGCCTCAATAATTCACAGTATCAAGCTGTTATCCTTATCTTTCTCTCTGATATTGACATATATTAATGTGTAATTTCTTTCCAACAGGAAGAGGTACTTACAGGTTTTCCTTGAGTGACTGAACTAAACACTGACATCTGCTTCATTCAAATTACAGCATTGTTTTCCTTATTGGCACCTCTGGGAAGAACAGTAAATAGCTTTAAAATAAAACTATTCCTTTATTCAACCTTTAATTCACTTAATCAAGCAAATATCCCACTTGTAAAACACACTTTTTTACAAACATAATCTGATTTATGCTGTATTAATATTTCATAGTGGCTAAAAGTAATTAGGATTTGTGATCAAGAAAACTGCAAATTGTGTGTTAAATAATAATTTTCTAATTACATCAACAAAGTAAAAATATGGAATATTTTTAAGGGCTATATTGGTTGCCACTAAATGTGTGATGCTGATGACGAGGGATGATGAAAATGATGGGGAACAGGAGCAGCAAAGTGGAGTAGGGACCAGCTACTTTTTTTTTAGATACTTTTATAAACTGATTCAGAGTTTTTCTTTCTAACATTTAAGATGCCTACTTACAGACACACAAACCTTTAACCTCTTAAAACATATCCATCTGTAACAGGGAGGATAGGTTCAGAACTCCAGGTTCTAGTATGAACCATTTCTACCAAAAAAAAAAAAACTTAAAAAAAAATATGCTGCCACTGCAAATTTTGCTCTCAGCTGTTCATTAGGCGGGTTGGACTCCAACAAACTAAAGTCGAAATTTCCAGTATGCAAAAATGCCCTCACCTCTTCCCAGTTGGTGACTGATGGTACAAGCTTGATTTTTCATGTTCTACTGATTTAAAAAGTGGTTATTTTTTAAACTCAGCTGGTCAGAACTGCAGTGAGACCATTGGGTACATCTGCTAGTCCTTTAACATAGAATGGCCCAGCAGGCAGGCTCATATAAATTACACATTGCATTTGTGCACATTTGTTCTTTTTGCATCTGTAAAACAGAGGAAGCATTAGAGCTCACCAGGACCTACAACGTCCCCTTTTTGCTTAATTTCAAAAATATTTTGTACAAATACAAACCTTAAAATAATATATTTTAAATTACAGTTCCACCTGTGTCCTTGAGGGATCTAATCAATCCTATTGATCTCACTAAAGGCCTCTTCAAAAGAAGCTCCAGGGCAAATTTTCTCATGCCCACCCACCATTAAAAAACACAATACAACTTAAATATCTTTACCAGAGGGGCCAATAAGTGTGAAGCATGCAGCACAAAAAGGATTGTTTCTTCACAGGAGCAACATTAACAAACAGTAACAATTTAGCTTAGGATTTTGCATCAAGCTGTTTAAAAGTAAACTTTTTTTTCTCCATTAAAATCCAAGCATTTTCCTTTCTTTTCAAGTTATTTTCTCACTTCAGTAGCATTTGCACAGCAGAAACAAAGTGACACTAAAACTACAGAAATGACACCATATTGGCCACTGTTTAAAGTTGGATCGCTGTTGACCTAATTTATTTTTGGGGAATTTTTCTCTGAAATCTTAACTGTAGCAATGGGTGAAAAACAGCTCCAGAAACCTATGGCAGGTAACTGCAATAATAAGCAATGAGTTGTACCATGCATTCAACACACAAACCTGTGTACACATTACCTTTGCCATCATAGTATTTATACCCAGTACTGATTCTTCCGCAGAGTCGGGGTGGTGGTGTGAATAATTTGGGAAGATGGTTCAAGAGAACAGTTACTCCAAGAACTGACGAGAACATTTGAATCAGCTGTGTCATGAGGTGAGGCCTGGTTCAGTGCTGAAAACCTACCAAGCACAGGGCTGGTAGAGTATGTGGGATGTAAAGGAGTGACGGTAACAGTGGGAACAGTGGTGCTCCTCTGGGTGAGGCCGCTGTGGGACTCACTGGGAGGAACGCAGATAGGATCCTCCTGAGGTAAAGAGGTGTTGTGCTTCCTTTGCCAACGGTGTCGAAAATAGACAACCACAACCACAAAGATGATTATGAGCAGCAGGAGGGCTAGAAGGGGGAGGATGATGAGGAGTGGGTTGGAGGTTTTATGAGGGTAGGACTCCACACGAACCGGTGTGTTCCCAAACGGAAAGCCGTCCGTCTGAGGCGGCTTCGCGAGCGTTGTGCTAAAAAAGCTGGTTCTGTTCGAGTTCCCCCAGCGGTTACGTCCCTTTAATTTCTGCTGGCTTTTGCTTGGTTGCTGGGTTGAATGGAGGACAGTAGACGGGACAGGGGAAATGGTTCCATTCCTGGAAATCCTGACAGGTGTTTGAAGAATGGGTGATGTGGTTGGGACTGGGCTTTTTGTGGTTGGATTTACCACAGGATCGTATGGGACAATTATAAAGTGGAATTCCCCTTCAGCAGGTTGGACATTATCAGCTTTCAGCACAAACACGAGACAGTCATTTAGCTCCTCGACTCCGGTCATGTTGGCATTCAGCTCAATTGCAACTTTCTCCTGCATCACGTCCTGAAATGTGAAAGACACAGTTGGGACGAATTTTCTGGATCTTTTAGAACTGGAGTGAACAATCTGTCCGTGCTTAGGTTGGGACATTATTTCAAACACAGGGTCACTGTCACTTATAGCAGCCAGTTCAGAGGCATTAAAAATGCTTGAGTTTAGCCTGACAGGGATCCCATTAGGAATCCTCAGACTTTGCCCAAGCTGAACTAGAGGTTTGACAGTTACATTAAGGAGTTGGCCGGTAATATTTGCCTCTGAGGTAAAGATGGTGAACTCAAAGCCGTCCCCTGCTGAGGACAGTGAGGTCATGTGGTAGGCCAAGCTTCCAGTCTGCAGATCCTTCTGTGTAAAATTGGTAACTTCCTGGTTTTCCTTCAGAATTTTGCCAAAACTGGGAGGTTTGGTAATCATGTAGTGAATAGTTAGACTTTTGCCATTCGTTTCTGCAGCGAGGTTGTCCTGGGTGAGAGCTGCCACAGTCTTCCCCTGCTGCAGGGACAGTCCAGTATAATTGACCAAAGTGATGGTGATCTCAGACACATCTATATTGAAAAGTTTATATAAAGGTTTGTGATGTCCGTCTGTGACACTGAAGTAGAACACGCCTGAGGCAGAGCTTCCATCGTGGATAAAATAGATGCTTCTGTTGTTAATTTGAGCTTGGGTGAAAGTCTCCACTGACTCATTCAAACTTCCTAGCAGAGCAAGATAACCGTTGCTTGGTTTGCTAATCACAGAGAAGGTAATATCCTCTGGAGGATTGTCCAAGTCTTCAACTCTAAGATCCTCAGGCCCCATGGCAACGCTGTCTCTCTGAACCACCTTCAGACCTGGAGTTTTAGTTTTTAGCACAGGGGGCTGATCATTCACAGGTCTGACTGTGATGTTAAAACGCTCAACAACTACATCCTTCTCATCCTGAGGCCGTTGAGCCGTTCTGCCTTTAGGGTTCAGCCAAACACTGAACACAAAGGAATCGTTGGTTGTCTCAGAGTTGTCGTGGCTGTAGATGATACCGTATTTGGTGACGATGAACTGCGAAAAGTTGGGCTTCTCTTTGGTGAGATTCCTCTCCCCTACCACGATGACGCCGTGCTGAGGCAGATCCATCACCTGAAACCAGACCTCATAGGAGCTGCGCTGTGGAGTGGGCAGCTTGGACATCAGGTTGGAAGCATCCAGCTTGAACTCGTCGATGACAACACTCTCCCCTTCTGTCACCTCAGCACCTGTCACAAGGTAAACACAAAGTCACTAAAAATGTCCAGTATTATCCCCAAGTCTTTACCAGTTAGAACATTTTTTCTTTTTATGGACACATATCCTTCTGATTCTTTTAAAGTACTTTTAATCAACAGATTACTGTGTTTTCTACATGCATTTAAAAAAAATGTCTTAGGTACCATGCTTTGTTTTTATAGTTTTCTGTGCACTAGGAGACCACTTTTAGAAAAATATGTTTTCATTCACCTTAAACCTTGCTTAAAATCAAACCACCAGATTAGTGACTGCTTTTTTTCCACTTCTTCTTAACTTTGGCTACCCAAACTGGGAAGGGTGGTTTGCAAATTTATTTACAATAATTATATACACCCCTCTTTATTGTGAAGCTCCTTAAAAAAAAAAAAAATAAAAAATAAAATCATGTCAACCAAGAGCTTTTAGTTACTATAAAGACAATCCAAAGATCCACACTCCGGTAGGAAAATCTATCCAAATGACAGAATAGCCATATGTATTATAGATCTATACAGGAGTATCACGGGAAACAATAACTTTTGGAAGCAAAGCTTCAGAATGTCCAATTAGGTGTTTGCTGCAGGCCAGCACAAATGTGAGGGAAGGTGCTCTGGTCTGAAAATATACAGACGTTTTCTTTTTGGCCTTAATAAGTTAAAAACAAACACTAAGTGGGACATAATACTAAAGCTACACACTTGAGAGTGAAGCATGGTTTTAGCAGCATCATGTTGTAGGGATGGTTTTATTCAGCAAATGCAGAGAAGCTGGTCAGTGTGATCGGAGTGTTCATATTAAAGACAACAGGCAAGAATCTCTGTGCAAAGCTAATCAAGACAAACCCAAATATTTACTTTATGAAGCATTTTTAAAATAAAGTTAAAAAAAAAAGATTTTTTTCCCCCCTTACACTTTAACATTTTTGACAATTTTGGCACACAGATACAGATAGGCAAAAAAAAAAAAAAAAAAAAAACAACATCTAAGTTTGTGATTGTTATGTAAAGTTCTTTGATGTATATGTATACCTTGGACAGTTTCTAAACATACACCAAAGATCCTGTTATGATGCTTGAGGAATGGACAGAATAATAAAAAAAAAAGACAAAAAAACCCCATCTGGATGAAGAAAAAGTTTGAAAGAACATCTTGTAGAACTATTAAAGGTATAGTGGAGGATTTTCGTGAATTTTTGAAAAGACCCTCTCCACTTAAAAAAAAAAACTCCACATGGACCACCTCTGTACCTGCTCCCGAGACAGAACGCCTATTAAACGCGTGATAGAGCGTTAACGAGCCCATTTCTCCTCGTGCATGCTCTGTTTAAAAGTTGCTGTTTCATCATTTGTGCAAACTTACTTTCCATAAGAAATTTTGCAATCTTTACACTTTAACAGACTCAACACGATAAGTGAAAATGGGGACGAACATGTTGGACGACCTTATGTAAACACATCACCAGAATGATTGATGATTAGGAGGACCACTTACTTTGATGATCCACCTGGAAATAAAACATCCTCCACTATACCTTAAAGTCCACTTCTAAAGATTTAAGGATTGTCAACAGAAATTTAGAAACTGGATTTTTTTTGCCTTCTCGACTTTTTAACCAATAAGAACAAAATCGTAAAAAATTTAACAAATAATTCGGGGTGCAGAACACCGTCCTACATAAGTATAACCAAATACAGAAGCATTATACCTGTGTTTTTAAGGAGGACTGTATTATGTTCAACTTCTGTGTTTTCATAGGAGATATCTATTTTTAAAGTCTGACTGTCTATCAAAGCAGGCAGTGATGAAATGGAAAAGGTTATTGAATCCATAGCTTCCCAGCCCACTGCCTCAATGGGCATTTGAATGTAGATGACTTCCTTTCTGTCCACCTGCAACACAAAAACATGTTTTGTTACTTCAGGGATCCCTAAAGTAGCAACTTCAAGTTTAACATACAGTAATCAAACATCTATTACAATGGTGACCATGGTATGCATCACAGTTTTTCCTTCCACTCAACTTTCAATGAATATGCATGAAAGCAGCATGTGTAAACAGCCAACCTCTTCAGCTGTTAGACCTGCTGTGAATTCCCCTGGTTGTGGAGGGTGTAAAATGCAGGAAAGAAGGAGAGAAAATATTTCCCATGATTGGGATTTTCCCATCATCATTTCTGAATTAAAGCCAATTCCAATCCTTTTTCCTGTACCTTTTATATGTGTCTCTGCTTTGATACACCTGAGTCAAATAATCAGGCTATTAGCAGGACTCTGAAGAATGGACTGCATGCTGAGGAGGTAATTCAAGCATTTGATTCAGGGGTGAAAGCAGAGACTCATTTACACTGTGCAGGACACAGGATCTCGAGTTCTGGAGTTGGGGAAGCCTGTTACATGGTCTCAAATTAATTAAGGCCCCGTCCACACGAAGCCGAACCCTGGCCTAAACGCACAAATTTTTCACCAAACCAGCCTCTCATCCATACGAAGCCGGCGTTTCGGGGGTCTGTAAACAATCTTTTTTTTATTCAGCCTTCAGAGTGGGAAGATTTTGAAACTCCGTTTTCGCGTTTCCATCTTTAAGCTCTAACCGCATTTTTTTTTTTTTTTTACACGCATGCGTCATAGCGTCGCCTGTAAACATGCATGCGCGACACAGTATCACAACAACAATGGCGCCGTACTGTGTTGAATGGTTGCTGCTAATGCTACTCACCCTGCTGTCGGGCTTACAACAGAATCTTCTTCTTCTGGAATATCTCCAGGAAGAACAGAGCAATATCGACGACATAGTTCAGCACCTGAATTTGACTGAACCACGAAAATGGACCCGCAGGGCAACCATGTATAAATATTAGTGCGCATGCCCAACATTTCGTCGCTTATTTTTGCTTTGGCATTACAGCGCCACTTACAGGCCTGGCATACATTTTGCAGCGTTTTCATGCATTTGTGTGGACGATCACATTTATTTTACGTCTCCGTCTTTACGACAAACGTTCTGGAAAATATTAGCGTTTCGTGTTCGTTTTGACTTCGTGTGGACGGGGCTTTTAAAGTAATTCAAAAATGTATTACAGTTCAGTAGCACACCTGTGTTGAGGATTTTTTTTCTGCTATTAAGTCAAAATAGATTAGCTGTAATAAATAACTCAAATATTCTTTACTTTGCATTCAATTTAGAATCACTTTGGCTTCAACTGTGTCAGTATAAAATCTATAATAAATCAAAACATAAAATGCTAGAAGGCTCATCCAGAAAAGACTCCTCAGCAAGGAAGGAAGTCATTTATTATTCATGCAGAACAGAGAAAATCTGGCATGAATGGAAGAAGCCTAATAAATTATCTCCCCAGCTTACATCCCTTGCATTACATGTCGGGGACATATTTAAAGAAGAGAGACCATTTTGATGTGCCCTTCTCGGAACTCACCATATCCTGTGTAAAAGTTGAAATATCTACAGTGGAGTTATCAGACTGCCTCTTAACCAGGCGTCCCAGTTTAGGATGGCGAATCACATTGAACGTAATGGTGCGGTTAGAGGAGCCGCCAACGTCGTTGGTCACAGCCTGCAAATTTTCATTGGTGATCTGTTTAGAAGAACCTGGAGAGAAATGGCAGCAGGGTTAGGGGTGAGCGACAGTAAGGCAGCTGCTTCAAATCTTTCTAATTCTTCCCTCTGGAACCACTTCACATCATTTTAAATTCTAAACTCTTAAAAAAACAAGAAAAAAACAAAGGCTTGGAATAGACTAATGAGAGCCTTTTGAAGTGTTAAATGAAAGCTGCCACGCACACACCAGAGAGTTTTACGACGCAGTGTCCTACTGAAGTGTGGGAGAGTTACATAAGCCCCCAAACAACAATTACAGCTCCATACAGACACGAATATCATGCTTGAAAAATAAAAATAAATAGCATATATTCATAAAGTCTTTATTCTAAAATAAATAAGGTTTTGCATATATCAGTTGCAACTCTGAATACTTTTCATGGGTTATTAAAAATGCTGATAAATAATGGATGACAGAGAGAAATGGAGGAGCTCCATTCCTCACTCCCACCATTTTTTATCTCCCAGGGGAAATTTCTACCTTTAAGGAAGAGAAACAGTTTCTGACCCCCAGAAAAAGAAAAACTCCTGTATGCTGATTATTCAAGCAATTATTTTTGTGTTATATATTTATGCTAGATTAGAACTTACCTTTTCTAACTACATTCTGCATTTGTTCTCTCCTTTATATAAATTATTTTACCTTTACTCATGCAAGGTACATAATCTTCCAAACACGATCTACATTAAGTAATGACCTCTCATGAATCATTCCAAAAACACATGCAGTAAATTAGCAAGCAGCCATTTTAAAGTTTGACAGCAATCCCCCCCAGACAGTCTAGCTGTTTGTGAGAAAAACATTTATTTTCCCACCGCAGTGTGAGAGGCCTCAGTCTCCTTTCTCTTAAAACAAGAAAAAACCCTCATTGTGGACTAAAGCTGCCATCCTAGCCTCCCCCCCGTCTGTCCTGCTTGGCACAGAGCACCAACATGGCTGACTGGGACAGACAGTGGCACAGATTTTCAAGTACCCACTCCCCCTGCGGCTCAGAGGCTCAGCAGAACATGCCAGCTGGCTGTTTGCTGCGACCACAGAACAATATCAGTTTCTTCTGATTGTCAAACAGAAATACTGAAAACCTCTGAAAGCTGTGGAAAGTGTTTGCTGACACAGGCTACACCCGTTTAATGATTTAATGAGCTCGCTGTGAGAAATGCCTCGAATTGTTAAACCAAAGAATAAATGGAAGCACAGCAGTGGGCGTGACGAACACACACGTTTGTTACAGTTTAAAAGTGAAGCTAATAGGAAATGAAATATGCCAAACTGACACATATGTTGTAATTATGTTCAAAGAGCTAATGACACTTTAAAACGAAAATAAATAAATAAATGTTGAAGAAGCAGAGAAGCAATCTGAACAAGAATCTGATCTGAATATGAAACAACATTTGGACAAAAATACACATAAACACAAACTGGAACAGTTTGCTTTGTAAACTGCCATTAGATGACATTTGCTGCATATAGATGTTATTAAATAAACTGAATTTAAAGTAAGGTAAAGACAAAGAAAACAATAGTAATTACTCTTTAATATGACTTATAAATCACCAGAGAAGCATTTTGCTAACAATGATCTAATTTACCTGAACATGTAAGTGGGAATTTCCATTAAGGAGTTGGAATTAAACTGGAAACTGGAAGAACAGAATGCATTTATGCATTTTTAAATGCCCCTTGTCAGAAGATTATAGTTTTGGTTGTTGGGTTAACCTGAACTCAGTAATATATGAAGAGCCTTTAGTTGGAACAAAACACCAAATCTAGTTTTCATTCCTAACTTTTTTATCTGCAAACTAAAAAACTGTGATTGTTGAATTAAAGCCTGTTTATTTTACCAGCCTGCAACTGGTAAACGTTTAACCTCAGACTGAGTTTATCAAATCCTGTCTTCTACACCCCCCCATTAGTCACAACAGAGTCCCTCTCTTGATTCTTCTTAAAGTTTCTTCCTTTTAAAAGAAAGTCTGATAGGTGTAAAGCAAATACACTGCAAAAAAGGAAATCTAAATTAGTATTTTTTTTCTTGAAATAAGAGCATTTTGTGTTGAATTGAGGTGAGACACCTTGCCAATGGATGCCAAGACAATTTAGATTTTAAATAAGAAAAAACTATTGCATTGTCTTATTTCAAAAGCATATTATCTAATTATCTTATTTTAAAGGTTTAAAAATATTAATTCCATTGGCAAATCATCTTATTGACCTGCTCAAAGTAGGGGTAAATACACTTATTTTAAGACATTTCTACTTATTTCTAGATCTTTTCGCAGTGTAGCTTGACACAATTAAACCTCCACATTCAAAGAGAAATTTTATTGTTAACAATTGGGCTGTTTTACATTGACAACCTTTTACCAACTGACATTAAAAAGTGAATTTGACGTTATAGTGTGGTAGGAAAGAATGAGAGGAACTCAATTTAAATTGGTCTGTATAATTAGGACTGATTTGATGATACATTTCTAGATACGAATAAGATCCATTTGCATCATGAGTTTAGGTTTCTTTAAATTCTCATTGGTGCAACATACATATGGAGAAAGTTTCTCCTATTAAATACTCTCAGTTGGCAGCAACTGTCTCATTATTCTAATGAATTCTGCTAAACCTTTGCTTATACAAAGTATTTGCAAAAACGTTTTGAAGATGAGGACCTCGGATCATTAACTAGAACTGCTTTAAGTCAATGCAGTCTATGTAAGAGTTGTGGACACAGTATTTTTTTGGTGTTATTGAGGTCATGGTACAATGGAAAGAGAAAAGGAAATTTGCTGATCGGCTGCTTTAGTGAGTGCGCTTACCAGGAAACACCTTGAGTGGGATGTTTTTCTCCAAACGCACAACTAAAGCTTTGGCAGTGATGCTGAAGATTTGCCTCGGAGTAAAATTCACACCATCGTTGACTTGGAAGTTAAAACCACCAGACATGGCACCTAGAGAATAACAGAAAAGGATCCATTAAAGGCCACAAACAAAATAAATCTCCTACTTTAATCCATAAACATTTTCTTAAAATATAAATGTGGTCCATGATGGGGGTTGAAATTTCCTCTGGATTCACCAAATAGGCAAACAGAGAGAATTTATGTTAAATCAGGAATCAGCCTAAGGATAATAACAGAAACAGCATGCAGCTCCTCCTAATGACTTAGGTTATGTTCCCACTGCAGGTCTTAATGCTCAAATCTCGATTTATTTCAGGAGTTTTCTTATTTTGTGTGGTTGTTCCCATTACCTTTAAAACATTGCCCAAATCTGAATATAGTGTGAACCGTTTGTAGCTTCAAACTGACCCACATGGGTATAAGAACGATAAGAGAACACGAATAAACATGGAGGAATATTCAGGTGTTACGGTTTGAGCACCAAACAGAATCGGTTTATCATGTCAGTGGAAGCTGTGAGGTGAAACACAGCAATGATAGGGCGGGGATGTTAACAACTTTACAGAGACCAAATATTAGAACAGCTGGAGACCTGATGCAATCTCAGAATATTTGATTCATTCAGATGGTTCTTCTTAGCGTTTCAATTCGTCTTTGTTTATTGAGGAGTTTCTCGCCACTGTGCAGAAAATATTCTAGAAACTGAAATGCTTCACAAAAGATCAGTAGCAATCAGGTAAGAAGAATGTACATCTAAATAACTGGACACTCATTTTATAAACAAAAGGGGAATGCACCAGGCAAAAAAAATAAATAAAAACAAATATAAAACAACAAAAGAATATAAACAAAAAGAAAATAATTAAAAGAAAATCGTCTAAGAAATAGATAAAGGTAACTTCGAGGGGTTAATAAAGTTTTCATCAAGCTGTATAAATTGAATAAAAAATACCGGTAACCAAATGTGGCTTCCCTCTGTAGGGCCACATTTAGCTGCAGTGGGAACAGGCCCTTAGATTGCCTGAACTGACACCAATAACAAACCAAATCCAAATGTAACTTTCCAGGAATGTCCTCAATGGGGTTAAAGGAAAAGTCTGGTCATATTCAGAATTCATACTTCTGAAAGTAATTTAAATATGAGATTATTACATACTGTTCATTAAAATGATATGTGCTTTTAAATAAGAGTAATTTAACTTAAATTGTGCTTTACTGGAGGCATCCATCTTTGTTAAAGAGCACTACTGCCACCTACAGGTTTGTGACGTCACAGTGCGGTATCGGCTGTTGATCAAGTCCCAGTGCTGCATCTGGTGTTTGTCACAACGCGCTATTATCGAAGTCATCTTGAAAAAATTCTTCTTCAAAATGTTGGCTACATATTACGTTTTTTTTTTCTCTGGCCTGAAGTTCGATGGCGAATCCTCCTTGAAGCTGGCAATCCAACAACCAGGGCTGCAGTAACCCGTCCGTGGAGAATCATGAATTGGAAAGGTGAAATATTTTTTTTTTCCACGTCTACCCAATGCATTACAACATCCAACTGCCACACACGTAGGCATTGCCACTTTAACTATAGCTCTCGGGAATTTCAATGGTGAAGTCTTCTCGAAATCTAAAATAATTGTTGTTGATTACAGATGTGTCTAGTAGCTCCCATTCATTTTGCTTGTGAAGCGGAGAGAATGACGCTAGGCTTCCCACACCGTGACATCACTGCGAGAAAATGTCAGGAGTGAGGTGTTACCATGTTTGGGCAAAAATGGCCGGTCCTGGACAACAAATTCTGTTATTTATATATTTTTTGCTGATTAAAGCTAAATTCATTAAACGTATTAGTTTCTGGTTAAGATAATGATCCATTGATCATTCAGTGCTGACCATACTTTTCCTTTAAAAGGTAGAGAATAAACAACTTGGAGCGACAAATGAGTATTTGGGATGTCTAATAATGTCACAGTAAGCAGATCTGGGATAGAGCAAGATGCAGCTATTACAGAAGTCATTCTCTGGCTATTAAACCATAATACCTTTGTGGACAAACAGCAGCTGTCCCTGGTCTATGTGGGCCTGTGTGAAATTCAGAACCGCCTTCATTGGGTTGCTTTTAAGGGCCAGGTGTCCATTGCTGGGTGGAGTGATCATGAAGTGTAGCTCATCTGCTGGAGAATCAAGGTCCTCTGCTCTAAGATCCTCTGGGGTGATTTCTGTAACTGATGACAGCCACACCTACAGAGCAGCAAACAACAACAGGCAACATTTCACTGGGTTGGTTTCATTTCCAGACACTTAGTAGATTATACCCAACAGGTTTTAATAATTTAAAGCGATATTTTTGGAGAAGCAATTAAGAATTAAACTGGGTCAAAGGAAAAAAAAATATTCACCCTTACTGATCCTTGCAGGGTTACCAAAGGGCTGGACAGGTCACTCATTGGAAATGAAAACTTCATTCAATTTTAGCAGAGAAAAAATATCCCTCATGTAGATACAAAGTAAGGTAAGTCCTACTCTTGCCTTGCAGCAAGAAGGTTCCGGGTTTGATTCCCGGCCCGCGGTCTTTCTGCATGGAGTCTGCATGTTCTCCCTGTGCATGCTCATTCTTCATACCAATCTTTCATAAAGCCCAGACTTAATGGCCTCTTGGCTGTTCCACAATCCATCAGTTTAGGCACACTTTCTGATTTCAATCAACAATTCTAACAAAGAATCAAACAAGGACACCAACATTCACAGCTGTCATGGGATAAAGGGTTCAAGGGGAATAAATACATTTGGAAAATATGAATCATTTGCTATGAATGATGATTTCTAACAAAATAAATATCAAGACAATACCAACCTAGAGCCAAACAAATAAAAACCCACAAACAGTTGAACAGTGCCTACATCAAGGACATCTAGGGCTAAAAATAGCACAACACTTTGTAATCTTTTTTTTTTCCCAGAGCACCTCAGACTGTTGACAAGCTGAAGTAAATTCCTGCTTCCATGCACACTGAAGAGCCTGGAGCTAATACAAAGCAGCAGAGGAAACAACTGAAGCACAGAGCACAAAACTACTGATGCATGCAGAACCTTGACAGGTAAGGAGATACCTGTAGACCTCAACCAGGGGAGCTACTGTTGCTTGGTCAGATAATGATGCAATTACTGCAAGAAGGTGACTAAAATCCCCTTTTATGCCATTTGGCAGTGCAGTGATTGAGCCGTGCTGTAAAGTGGTAGAAAGCAGGGCATTTATATCCTGTAGAGGCCTCTAGATCTTTGGTTAAACTGTCAGACTGAGCAAGACCCTTAACCCCACAATATCTCCATGGCGCTGCTCCTTAAGGGGTGGGTTACATGAAGAGGACGAGTATGCAAGCAAAACCTTAGGTGAACTGGTTAAGACAGACACTCCTTAGAAAACAGATCAATGTGTTCGATGTTTTGTAAATAATCTTTATTAAATTACTTAGAAACGCCCTCTCAACTGTTCTTTCACTTACAGATTTATGTTGCTCCTGAGATTGCCACCAGTTTTTCTTTATAGATATAGTTGATTATCTTATACTGCTGCATTATGGCTTAGCATTTCAGAAATAAGTAAAGCTAATTTTCAATGTCTTGTGTCTTTTAAAGGTTTTTCCATTAACTAGCAATAACACACCTTTGTTCACACATTCATACTATAAGAACATTAGAAATACAACTTCATACACATACGGTATATATTGTGTAAAATAATTATCAACAATGATGAAATTGTAGATTGTTTTAAAGTATGGCTTACAAGATAAAGGAAAGAAAACAGAGACCTGGGAGAAATTGTCCGTTTGTCAGGACTTGTACAACAACCAGCCACACTTGTCACACCAGCCCTGCAGCAAAACACCCACCCACACGAGAAAACTCATCTCACATTTAAGGTGAATGTTGCTCTGGTGGGAGACTACACCTCCAGCAATCCCTCATTTGACAGGAAGTCACAGCAGGACTGCTGAGCAGCGTCAAAGTGACTAACGAAATTCAAAGAAAAAAACCACATGAGATCAGTGTGCATGAAAAGGCCCCCGCGGTCGAGATTGCTTCTTAATTAAAAGCAGGATGTTTGATGTTCATCAAGCTGCACCTTCAGAGGAGATCATAACAAATACAAAGAATGTGACCAAACTTGACTTTTGGATTTATATATATTTTTCTTGTAGTAATTGTGCAAGTCTAAACTGCAAAACCTCTATTACTTTGATGTGTCTTTGGTGAGAGACAGTTTTAATTAACTTTATCTTTATAATCGGAACCAGCATAAATAAAGAGAACTTCTTAACTTTATTGAAGGTTACGTTAGCCTTGTGACTGTTTGTATTAAAAGGCAAATCCCTCTCTTAACTAAATGCGACTCAATTGTAAAAGGTTTTACAAAGCATCTTGTTTTAACATACAATAATTCTACAAAGGAAGAATTTGTGCGCTCAGTTCCCTTTGCTGGCAGACAGTGGCAGACAGCCCCCTTGTGGTCACTGATATACCATTTCCATTAAACTTTTAAACTATGATTTCTTATGATTCATTTTTGGTTGAAGGGATTTCAAATTAATAACCCCCCAAAAAAACATTGTATGTGAAAAAGTGATCTTTATTAGTATTAAACAAATGTCTAATAACTTAAGGGATTATTTTAAAAACTATTATTTAAAAAAAATGAAATATAAAATATGTATATAAAATGATACTACTGCTTTGACTATTTAAGAGTTTTATAGCTACATTAAAGCTGCATTTTGAAAATGTGTATCTGAATGATTAGGCAACACAAATCCAGCCTGTGGATAATTGAAGAAAAATGTATATAATTATAATATAGAACAGCTGAATTTCTATTACCATTAAATAAAAAATTATTAGAAATGTTACCCAGATTACATCTAATCTAATTCTCATTCAAATTAACACAGCAACTGATTCATTTTAAAGTTTCTAGAAAGTCACATTGCAAAAGTGCATTTGTCAAATCAACACAGACAAAGTTTGGCCACATCTTTCCACTTTGTATTGCCAGTCCTCTGAGATCCCACATAGCAAACATAGCAACACACCCAAACACACACACAGACCTGAAAATGACCCCATGAACATCTTTTGAGAGTGGTGCCAGATTGACTGGCAGAAAAAAAGGGGACTGAGTTTAAATACAGAGCTAAAGACTCACCCTGAGGACCCTATTGGCTGTAATGACAGGACGCTCGTCATTAACAGCTGTAAGCTCGACGTAAACCGTCTTGGCTGCACTCTTTTTCCTCAAGCCTGTGTCACTGGCTTCCAATGTAAAATTATCGATCAAGGTTTCACTGCTGTCATGGACGTAGTAAATAAATTCATGCTCCACCTTGGAAAAAGAAAACATGCACAAGAAATACAGATAAATGGAAAGTGTGGGTTATTTTAAACAAAGTCACTAAATTTCAAAATGTTTAGGAGGTAGGAACAGTTTTACAAAGAATGGAGACAAAATCATAATTTTCAATAATTCTGCTTCCTTTATCACTGGCTGTGTAAAAATCTCACCTGCCTCCTGGTGAAAGTTGATATAGGCACACCAGGATGACGAGAGTGCTCAATGTGACCGTGGTGAGGCGGCTTCGTCAAATTATAAAAAAAGTTCAGTCCAGAAAAATGCCTATTGGTTACTTTCAGCACATCCTCTGTTAGTGCTTTTGAGGCCCCCTCATTTATGGTGAAATTAGTGACATGCAGGGGTATAAGGAGTGGGATGATGTCAACAGTTATTCTAATGTTGCTAACATCAGTGACCCCATTGGTGGCGTCCAGGACGAAGGTGTCATTTACACTGTTGGGCTCCACCTGAACGTACTGGATGTTCCCCTTGTTAATGTCCTCTTGGTTAAATATCTTGACAGGGGATTGTTTGCTTCCGACATAGCGCTCCTCGGCCTTGACAAAGCACCGGAGAAAGCCATGAGATGGAGCAACCTTGACTGTGAACACGATCTCAGATGGCAGGTTGTCCTCATGGGTGACCTGTCCCAATCCAGAAACACCCCATGGTTACATTTAAAATGCCACGTTGCCTTTGAAATCCTCATTTTAATTAATATTGTTTCGAAAGCATAAGAGGATTAGATTCAATACCCATAGTGTATATGGTCATATGGTCAGATTTTTAAAAGTTTTTGTGTAAACACTGAAGTTTACAAGTTTAAGTCAGAATGCTGTACTATACTATGATCAATGGTTATGATTTACAAAAGCAGGTGTAAAAAAAAGGAAAAGGAATTTAAGGGAGAGAATAATGGATATACAAGTGTCTATATTTTTTTACTCGAATAACATTACAATGATCCCATTTTTTTTTTTTAAACATAAAGCTTTAACATTTCTTCAAAGTTACAGAGAAATGTTAAATCTCTGACAGAAATGCTTATGATTAAAACACTCACCTCCAGTTTAGTTTCGTCAATCTTCACTGGTTTCCCCTCTTCCACCACTAAAGTCTCGTGATGCTGAATGATAGGTGGCCTCTGATGACTTTCAAGAAACACCTTCACATTAACCCTCTCTGTAGTTTGCAGACCTTTTGCTTTTACAGTTATGTTGAAATGGTCGGCCAGATGTTTGCTGTCATCGTGCCTGTAGGAAATCAGCCCCTCCTTCAGCTCAGACTGTGTGAATTTCTCAACCTTTGTGTTGTTACAGTAAAGACCGCCATAACTGGGAGGCTCAATCATATTCATAACAACCTCCTGGTCATCTCGGATATCCATATTTGACACGATGCTGAAATTGCTGTTGGTAAACGTTACAGACATTCCTTTCTGTACCAACAGGCCAGTGTTGTTGCCAGCCTTCAGGAAAGGGTCACTGGCACTAATGTCTAAAAGGCCAGATACAAAGTTTTTTCCATCAGAAACAAAGAGGACAAATCTGCCATTGCTGGCACCCTTGTGAATGAACAACACCCGCTTTTCCACCAAGTCCTTCTGTGGAAACTGAAACAGCCGCTGAGTGGTGTCGTTGACCATAACGAGGTCTCCCACTGGGATTCCTCGTCGGGTGTAGATCAGATGGTCGTCATCAAAGTCTGAGTCAGCATCGTGATAAAACAGATCCTCTGTAGTGAGTAGCTTCTGTCCATTTCTTACCACATGGAAAACTTTATCAATGGTTCGAACTGGTTTTTCGTCGTTAACGAGATGAACTGAGATGTTGAAGGTTCCTTCTTTTGAGCCAACTTCATCTTCCAGAATTGAAGACTTGAACCCTTTGCTGGTAGAAGCTATAAAAGTAAAATTATCTTTGGTGGTTTCACTGTCATCGTGGATGTACATTAAGCGCTCCAGCATTATATCCTGATTACTGAAAGTCAGGATGTTATCATAGCTGGCATTGGAATCTGACCGACTAATTCGGGCCAGCCTCCCATGTTTGGGACTGCTTATGACTGTGTAGTACATGTCCCTTGTGCTTAGAGTCTCTGCAAAGAGCTCATCTTTGGTGATAAGTTTACTTTCTCCCTCCTGAAGGGAGAGGCCTCTATTTCTCATAAAAACAGTGTTGATATCTGCTTTGATTGAAAACTGAAAATCATAATTTTCTGACTGTGCATGTTTAGAGACCATCTGAAATTTAAACCTATCAGTTGTGTCCTCATAAGGTCTATCAACTAGCTCATAATGGACCTTTTCATCCGTTAGATTACTTTGGCTAAACGTTGAGTTCTTCATCAAGACTGTGGTGTCAAGTAGGAGTTTTCCCTTCTTTGGTGTAGTCAGAACTCGAAAATAAAGGTCGTCGTCCGACAGGGCCACACCTTCAGCTCTTGCAAGAAGGTACTCAGAGCTAAGTGTCACTTTTCTAACTTTATCCAAATTTATCATGACATTCCTTGCCAAATGGTACTTAACCCACTTAACAGCAATAGAGAAAAGTATTTCAGTGTTTGCTCTCGCAGCCACATTGACTTTACACTTAAAAGAATCAGAGACATTAGAGGTCTGGATGTCATGAAAGGTGCTAATGTACCTAAGCCGCTCTTTGTCAAGAAGTCTTTGAGAGAAAAACTCTGTATGCCTCCATTCACCACTTGAGTGAAGTCTCTGTAGTTCGCCAAATTGTGGTGGTTCAATTACATCATAGCGAATGTCTATAGTTTGTTTAACTGCATTAGTTTGAATGGCTAACTGCTTTGAACTAATAATAGCAGTTTCTCCTTGAGTAATCTCTATACCTGTGTTGTTGGCTATCTTATACTTCAGCTCTAGAGCCATGATCCTTAAAACCACAGTGTTGCTGACCTTGTCTCCATCACTAACTCTTAGAACTATCCTTGAGTTTCTCACGCCAGTGTGGACATAGAACACCTTCATTTCATCTAGATCAACATATGAGAATGAAGTCACTGCCTTTCCTGGGTGGCTCTCAATTTCCAAGTAGCCTGCATCAGCGTTCAGGTTTCCCAGGACAGAGAATACAAGGTTAGTGTAGTTGCTGTCTATGTCAGTTGCTTTCAAAACCTCAGTGGTGAGACGCTTCTTAGACTTTTCCAATAAGACAAAGAGATTACCTTCTGGGAGGCTTAATTCAGGTGCATCATTAGTTGGGGTGACAGTTATGTTATACCGGTATAATTTACCATGCTTCAGATAATCAGGAACTGGTTTTCTACTGCTACAAAACACTGAGAACATGAAGAAGTCATCTGGCTCCTCAGAGCCTCCATGGACATACATCACTCTCTCGTGCCAAAGATCCAACATGCTGAAGGTGTTCTCTTCCTGGTCCTCATCAACATCAAGTCTTATCTGACCTCTTAATGGCTGGTCTTCAATTCTAAACATAATCTGAGACTGTCGGATGCCAAGTGCTTTGAAGTCCAGGAATATCTTTATGTGTTTGGCCTCCAGAGAGGCTCGTCCACCTTCCTGTACAACAAGATTTTTAAGATGCACAAACTCTGAGCCATACTTTTTGTCCAAGCCAACTGCAAGACTTGACATTTGAAGAGACGGTGTTGGTGTTAGAGTGTAGATGACTGCGCTTGACTTTGTTGAACTTGTAGGACTCACAAGGGTCGATTCCTCAGGTGGTTTCTCTGGTTCACAACCTACTGAGATATCTTTGGTAACTACAGCACTAGAGAGACCCACCTTCACTCTGTTTATTTCAATGTTCCTCAAACATCCTTTAAAGGAACCCCCTCTGACACGCTTTCCGGATAAAGAGACAAGACCTATTTTTCTCACCTCTGACCTTGTACCATCATCAATCCCTCCAACAAAAAGAAACCCTTTAAGATGTAGCCTTTTGGAGTGAGAGCTAATGCTGCTTTTCACCATTTCCTTGTCCACTGTTAACTCAAGGTTTTTAGAACTGAACTGCAACTTGAGAGAATGCCATTTTCTGTCATTGATGACAGTTTGAGAACGTAGCTCGGTTTTCACTCCACCTTTACCCACAACAGCTACTGGAAAACCTTCCTGAATCTCCACAGCCACAAAGCCTCCATCCCTGGCTGAACTGTAGAGGATTACACCCTCTTTGGCTGAGGTGTGCACAACACATTCAAATGTAGCCTGTTGATGATGATGATGATTCCAAGTTGGAAAGGAAATATAGGCCCTTGAACTAAAAAAACTAATGGGATCTTCCTCAGTGGCAAAGAACTGGGGACTGCAGCCTAAAGAAACTTCATAAATATTTTTGTATCCAGTATAGGGCCTCAGTGATGACAGCAGGTCATGTTGATTGAACAGCAGCTCTTCCATGCACCCGCGGAAGCCGACTAAGTCTCTTGGGAGGTAGATTTTGTCCAAACCTCCTGTGCCTCCAACATAAAGACCATCTTTGATGTGGAGATGACGAAAAGAGCCAGGCATCTTGATACTTGTATGAGAGTTTTTGTCGACAGTCAGAGTGACGTTTAACTGCACATGGTGGACCTCCACTGAGTGCCAGGCAAAATCATTAAGCTGAATACCTCTCTCTGACTCCAAGATCTGCTCCCCTGATCCAAGATCCAGTTTCACCTAAAGGAAGCAATAAAACACAAAACAAGCTGTTTAAAAATGTGAAATGTTAAATCAAAATATATGAGTCCATTTTATTCCATTATTGCTGTATTTAAATGGCAATTTGAATATTTGCACAAATTTTTAATGAAAACTACAATTTCATTCTATATGTTCATTTTATTCCTTAGTACTTATTTTTTTATTTTAATAAAAAAAAAAAAATGTGATATGAATTTTTTTCCAATTTCTCTTATCTGACAAAACAGCAAAGTTACTCTTAAATTTTTTTTTAAAGATGTTCAAAATTTCATTTCTGCATTTTATTTTTCTAAATTTCTATTTAAAAAACATGCTTATTCAAATTTCCATTTACAAAAAGGGATCTTTGCTTACAACAATACTCGAGTACTACTGTTAACATATATGCACTTTTAAACAGTAACCAAATGGGATTTAAAAATCTAAATATATTTAGTGTCATTTTAAAATAATGCTTCACAATTCTTAAAGGTGCCATCACTCAACAGGCCATTGCATGTTAAATTGTGTGTGTGGCATTGGATCTCAGTTAAAACTTCCCAGGTAGTTGACAGTGTGAAAGTGGCCTTTTTTTGTGTGGGCTCTTAGCATAAGACCGCTTTGCTTTTACCACAATTCCAACAATCAGGGCTTACCTGCAGTCAGGAAGCATTGTTGCTTGTATAACTTTTTACCTTATGTGTAAGAGACCAAGAAACAATGGTAAACCAACCACAGCAAACTGCTAATGTTGCTGATGCTACATCCTGATGTAATAAATGCAGAGCACATTAACACTCATACAAACAGGTTAAATACCAGTGTGTACGCTCAACTAATTTTATATTCAAACGATTTCAGAAGGACTGAAATCTTGTTTTACATTTTATGACTCCTTAAAGGTAATTCATTGTTCAGTGTTTTAGCATTTCTTCTACACAAAGCTTATTAGAAAATAATTACCTTTAATTACTTATATGATATTGGTAAAGTATTTGCTAAACCTTTCAAATAACAGAAATCAGATGTTTTAATCACTTCCATGTTCAAAGATGGATGAAATCAAGCTTCTAAGGATGCAGACTATTTCTAGAATGATCTGAGAAAGAACGGGTCGCTAACAGGAACCCAGTTAACTTCAGCATGGTGCTATATTAGGATGCCACCTGTCCAACCGGTCTAGTCATAATATTTCCTCACTCCTGAATATTCTACCAACAAATGTGGGTGATATTAAAACCAAGTGGCAACAACTGAGAACAACAGCAACCCAACCATAGTGGTAGGCTGGGCACACTGACATAACTGGGGAATTGAGGTCACAAAGTTTCTGCATAGTCATTAGCCACATTTACATTACCCTTTTGAATATGTGCAAAGAACCGTCTGAGGAGGGTAACCAAGATTACTGTTGAGTGTAAATGGAAAGCAACAGAACTGGACCGTGCCAGACACAACTGAACTGCGTTAAATCTAGTACAAGTTCATCAGTAGAGCTTGGTACAGATCAGTTGTGGCTCGGTTCTCTAATAGCAGAGAATGCATGAGCAGACAGCGTCATCTACAGTCAGCTGACTCATTTCGCGGTTTTCCGACGTGTCCGGCTTTGCATTTCAAAGATCACCAACTTCTTCTCAGCTTATTAAGAATAAATGGGATCAAAACAGCGTGGTGCGACCAGAGATGTTGCAGAGACTGAGGCTCTAATTGAAATTTTGGGTGGAGAGCTATCCAGACACATAAGTTCCTGAATGTTATTAGGTGCTGCCATTTTCGTTTGCGTATCTCCCGCCTTGAGAGCTGTAGTATCATGGACCGACGATAAGAGGCGGGGAATTGTGATAGTGTTAGATGTTGTGTAAATGTTGTGTAAATGGTCGCAAGAATCAAGCTCGACACTTAACTGATTCAAGCTCGGTCCGAACCTGGCACGGATTGGTTTCAGAGGGGTAGTTTAAATGGAGAAAATCACTACAACCATGTGTCCTTTAGATTAGCTAAGAAAGGTGCATAAAGAGCCTTATGCAATGGGTTCCCAAGGCTGAGAAGCTGCATCCAATCAATGTATCACCAAGTGTTATTCAAAATGTTGAATGCAGTGGTGTGAAGGATGCTCCAAATACACTCTGACGCAGTGAAGACCCTTTAAGTGAGAAATATCAAATCAACCACTTTGGATTCAAAATGTGAAGTTACTTTAGTTCATGTAAGTCAAGGTAAGCAATTGTTAGTTTTGGTAATATCAGTATTTCAATTTTTTCTTGAGCTTTTTATTGAGTCAGCTACTTTTCTAGAAACAAAATCTTTTATTCATGTCCTCTCTTGTGGATGGTGCATCAGGACAGTGGTTTTCTAGAAAAAGGGATACCTCCAGACGGTATCCTGTTTGATTGATTGATATAATAGTTAGCTGTGTTTGTAGGATATTAAACCATTAAGCTGCTTGCTGGTGTGTAGATAAATGCAAGTATGGAGTGTGCTTAAAGATATGAGCCAGTTTGTCACAAGAAGGAGCACAGTTAGAAGTATGGCCACAGCAGTAAAAGGCCAGTAACCTACAGCCCCAAAGAGCAGCAAAGCACTTCCACTGGGCAGCCATGCATCCTGCACCCCCTAAGCTGTAGAGGCCTGGAGTGATTCAACCAGCAAGACAGTCCAGAACAAAGCAGGAATGAGGTCTGTGCATGGAGAGCCATCACGCATAGATGCATAAAAGAGAAGGGCTTTCTTGTGTCATACCTGAACCAGAGAGAACACCAGAAACATCTTAAATGTACTAAGGGGAAGAGTGGAGAAAAACAGAATCCAAGTTGCTTGAAGACCAGTGAGAAGTGTCCACTGTCACTGATGGTTTGAGGTGCCATGTCATCTGCTTGTGTTGGTCCACTCTGTTTTCTGAAGTTTAAAGTAAATCCAGCCATCTATCAGAGTATTCTAGCACTTTATTTTCCAGCAGGACTAGGCATCTACCCACACTGCCAGAGGTACCAAAAACAGGGGGTACCTGCTCATTGGCCAGTAAATTCCACTTATCTGAACCCTAAAGAAAATCTCTGGGAGAAAAGAAACACCAGAACCAACCTGAAGGCAGCGATCAAATACCCTGAGCTTTGAAGCCCAACCAAGTATTGAGGGTATAGAAAAGGAAATATTTTTACAATCCTTTTTGATTAATCTAATGTGATACTTTTCTCTGAAACTAAAAGGTGTTTGTTTGTTTCTCTACCTTAAAGGTATAATGATTAAAGTTACATTAAATAAAGTTTTAAATATGTTATTCTATGCGTAACAAATCTCTATAAAATTCAATTTTGCAAAGAACAGACAAGTTTCCATCTCTAACTAAATGTATTATTCATTTTCGTGATTTTATGAAATTATGAAACATTTTATAAGTCACAGATAAGAATGAAAAGCTAAGAAACAATGAAGTTTCTATCTGCAGTTTAACAAAATGCTTTAGTAATCAAATAAAAAGATCCTTTTTAGCAATTTAAACATTCTAGCTATATCAAGAATGTAATCTTATGTAAAGATATTATTAGGTGCAACAGATTGAAAAAAAAGTTAAGCTTCAGATACTGTTACACCTTAAAGGGGAAAAGAATAAAATGAAATAAATCAGGATTCAGACTGCTTATGATGTCACCTGCTGTCAAAACAGTGAACTCAGTCTGGGTTTGAGAGGCAAAAAGGCACCATTATCTATTCGCCCTGAGCAACGACCACAGAGCATCACATTATCTCAGACTAATGCTGCATTTAGATGACACTCTTGTCAAGGCCTGCTGTGGAGCTAAACATGAACGAGCTTCCAGGAAGCAACAGTCATGTCTGACTCCAACAGTGAGACCCCAAGCCTGAAAAATGCTGAGCACTGCCACTTTAGAGCCCATGAAACATAGTTCACCCTTTGTGTTCAGTGAAGCACAAGAAATTCCAAACGTTTGTCAAAGCGATTTATTCCCACAGTTAAAATGTAACTAGTATGAGCTTAGTCTGAGGATTTTAAGTTAAATGCACTGAAACTTGCTTACGGTACAAAACTGGGTCGAGCTGCAGGACGAACAAAAACACAGTTTTGATCGCACTTGTAAATGAAATGAAGATCCCAAAGATCAAAGAGAGCGATGATGATAGTTTGATGAGGAAAAGAAAAAAATAAGTGAAACAAATACAGATATATAGAGGGCCTGACATCATCTACACAGAGACATAAAGCAGTGGTTGCCTGCACTGCTTGCAGTAAAGAGATGTGTCTATTCATAATACATTTTTGCTTTTACCTACACATGCATACATTTGTTTATTTCCTGCAGCCATAATAGTACCAACCTGGAGGCGACCAGCGTGCAGCTCTAGCAGGAAGTAGCTGGCCTGGCCAGCAGCGAGAAACATCAAGCCATTGGTGCTGGAGGTCCGGAAGCGAACACGGAGCACATTACGGTCGGACGACTCTGTTGCTTTGAGCTGTATGTAGCCATCCCCGTAGAAGGAGGCTGCAAGAGAGGCGACAGGGAGAAAGTAAATGAATGTAGTGCAACAGAAAAAATACGACTACACTTTAATGAATGTTAAAATAAAGCAGGGATGACAGCGACAGAGAGGAGGTTATATCCAGCATTGTAGTATAAATATAGCTTGCATGAGACATTAAGATATAAAACTGGGTTAGTTATAATTGTCTGTTTGGAAACAAAGTCTTTAAATACCAACCCTGCTCATTCAAAGAGTGGAATATTACAACTTCTCTGAATTTCTGCTTCAAGGTGTTCCGGTGGTGCTTAAGTTTTGAGCTCAAACATTATGATTAACATGCATTAAAATAGGGGTTTGAAATGTCAACTTAAAACTAATCAGCATCTTTGTCAGAAACACAATTCAAAGCTATGCTTAATAATTAAACCGCTGTTTCATTAGTAGCCCTTGTGGAAAGTTGTTCAAAAACTCTTGAGCGCTTTAAGGACCACATATGCTATGTTGAAGATTTTTATCTTTAATGCCATAATAGCAGCACATACACTGAGAAACTGGAAGCGGCTTGGAGAGATTCAGACATGTTGGGGCCCGTCTTGCTCTGACAGGAACATCAATGTGGACATGAAAGGCTCTGACGTCCCCACATTGTCTGCAGCCTCTTGTTCTGGAAGCGGCGTGGCAGACGGACCCAGCTGTTTCTTCTGCCTCACTTCCCCCGCCGTTTTCACGGCCCTGTAATCTGCTCAAACGTGCTCTGAAGCGTTCTCAAGTGCCTCCATGCGCAGGCACCAGCAGCTTTTAACGAGCTCCGGAGTACCACACATACTGAAAGGTCAACAAACATCTCTGTTCCACAGTTTCATTCCTTCCCAGTTTATAAGCCCTGGGGGTGGGGGAGTCTATAATGGGTCAGATAAACTCACTGGAGCGAACAAAAATGTTGATACGTGCACAGTTATATATATATATATATATATATATATATAGTATCTTTTACTCTTTCAGTGCGACTTCCTAATATTTCCCCCACTTTAAAGGCAAACGGTATCCTTTTTTTAACGATTCCTACTGAGGAATAACCTCCCTGACTAATTGATGGGCCGAATTAGGAGGTAATTGTGCCTTTTGTTTCAGGTGTGTTGAAGAATGAATTCATGCAAAAGCTGCAGGACAGTGGCACCAACGTTGCCTACCTCTAATCCACACCACGAGGCATGGGCTGTTTTCTGGTGCCAACATATAGCAAAGACCTAAATTAAAAGCTTTTTAAATTTAAAATGTTAGAAATTTTTCCTCGGAGGCAAATATTTAGTTGCAGCCATTTCAATGACACAACAGAAAATACTAGTGGGACTCCAACTTGTTGCTTCACAATGTTGCCTGGAACCATTAATCTGATAAATTGTAATAATCAATTATCGAAATAATCATCAAATAATTGAGTGATCGATTAATCTTTAACTGGAGACAGTAAAACATGCCTTTAGCTGACAGAGCGACCTACTTAGAGCAGTAACTATATCAAAATTGTGAAAAAATATGTAAACATTTGCATTTAAGATAAAAAAAATGTTTTTTTTTTTGTCATTTTGCTCTATCCAGAACTCCTAAAGTGGAAAAGTTTTTGTTTCACCTGGTTTAAATAAATAAAAAATCTTCATTAAGGAACCTTTGGCTATCCCATTAATCATCAAACAAATAATCAACAGATTAATAAAAATAATCCTTAGTTGCAGCCCTTTGTAACACTGCTGATAAGCTAGTTGAACGGCTCCATGTTTTTCCCTATCTTACACAAATTTGGCAGCTTGAAAATATGTTTCTGTTGCATAAAAACAGGGTTACTAATTGGATGACAGAGCACCTGTCACTTTTATTGAGGTAACCAATGAGGCCAGCTTATATTCCATGTCTTCTATTTATCTGTCTTTTATTTTATTAAGTCCTTAATCTGCAAATAAATGTTTGAAAATGTTTTTTTTATTTTTTGTTTTTGTGCATTTCTAGCCAATCACTAGTTTCTTTACTAATGTTCATATAAAAAGAGCTGAACGATTGTAAGGTATAATATGGAGCAAATTAGGCTCTTAAAACAGCTCAATTAAACTCTGTGTATTAGATTTTCCTTCAAGTTATTATTTTAACATAATTTACTTGACATTTTTAAATCTAAAGTTTTACAGCTCTCTCTTTTTTTTCTTTTTTCTCATTATTTATAGTTTGGAAGATTGTATTATGCTCCAGTTAAACCCCCTCCAATATCAATCTAAAAAAAAATAAAAAATACTTAACAGGTTTAAAAATGTATTGTTAGAGTTAAAATTCCATTGGCAACTAAAATGGCAGGATTCTATTAGAATAGAAGCAGGTGGTGCAAAGTTATCACATTGGGTACAACAAACATGCCTAAAGACAAATTTAGTGCAAAGGAAACAGACAAAAAAATCGATTTAAATAGACTGTGAGAAAGAAACGATTGAAAGAATTTAAAGGCACACCGTATATATTGTGACCTAAATAGCTGACGTATATGAATAACTTTAAATGATTCCTAAGGCCAATATACAGTGCTTGACACCATCAATAATACGAGCGGGGCTCCCCTCTTGAAATACCGCCTATGTAAATTGGGAGATGACGGACCATCATTGGTCAGGTCATGTGACCTGCAAGAACATATCGCTTTATGGCCACAGGCTCTTATATCGCCATGGAGCTAAGGCTTTTGCTCTACTATTTTTCTGCCTGCTTGAATACTGGTCATGACTGAGGCAAAGAAAAAGTTTAAGCCTTCTGAGGATGCTAACAAGAGAAAATGTGAAAGGGATCGTGCACGAAGAAAAACAAGAGATGATCTTGGAAAGGAGTTAGATTGTTGGCGCAGGCTGAAAGAAGAAGCCGGATCTGAAACTGGTTCTCTTTGCTCAGCTTTACTATTAGACTGCTAAGTTAACACTTTGCTCCTAGTATACATTCATATATATATTTTGTTATTATTTTTGATGTTTAATAGAGGGTAAATACGGGCAGTTACAGGTCTAGTGCCCCTAGTGGCCAAAAGTTACACAATGTGCCTTTATGAAAAAGCTTTATATGCAAAAACAGAACAGAGAAACTTTAGACGGAGAGATCTGACCAGCTTCTTCCTACAATTCAATATAACTTGATGAAGTTGCAAAATATGTTGCTGCCCTGCAGCATGATGTGATAATATCACATTTTCTTGCTGCGGAGCAGCATCCCACTCCACTGACCCAAACAAGAATACGTTTAACCAGTGAAATATGCCTTGTTCTTAATATGATGTCATCTGAGTGGCTTTTTATACTAATTAAAAATGAGCCCATATAAAAGCTGGAGATTAATGTTTTGCACCAGATTCAGAAAGATAGAAATTAATGCTAAATTGATTAATCCGCATCCATCATCAACACTGCATTAGAATAAATAGAAATTATATTAGGTAAAGGAAGAAGCTCTTTCCTCCAAAATGTTTTCTATAATTGAATCTTTTTTTCATAAAAAAAAAGTGTTTAAAACTACTATTTTTGAAGGCATGTAAATGAAAGAGTACAGCAGGTCAGACAAAAACACCTTCAGAACAAAAAGGAGGTTGTTTAAAACACTATCCTGTAATCTTCATGTCAACAGGGGCAAGTTTCTTTAAAGAGGTGACATTTTTTTGAAAGATTTCCCAGACATCTACCTTAGCAAAAAAGCTGGTGACCTTTTCAGAGAACACAGGCCTAATTTGGAGGGGGTAGACCAGTGCTTGTCACTGCCTGTGTTTTCAGTTTATTCAGCAGACCGGAGATGCAACACGACTGAATCTTTTCCAAAGTCGACGCACTGTCAAAACCTCCAGACGCAGATCTTTTGAGCAAAGGCTTGGTTCAAAGTGTGAAAGAAAGACGGAAATCAGAAAGACAGCGACATAAAGGGAAACATCTCCATCCTGGGCATTTTCTGTGAATGACAAAGTGGAATAATTTGTATGATCCCCTCAGGGTAGAGTCTGGATCAAAGTTGAATTCAGACGACACATGTCAGGTTCAAATAAAGGAGAATAGCTAAAGGATGCCTACATGGATTTAATAATGCTCACTTGTGAAACAAAGACATCTCTCTCCCTTAGGTCTTGTAATGCAATAACCGGTGTTCTTTCTGCAGAGTGGGTATCCATGCATGCAGAAATGTTGTTTATAGAGGAAAACTGCATTTATCAGCTATTATAATGTGCAAATAAAGAAAGCCAGGGAGATTTCTGCAGAAGTTATAAAGGACTGTAACTTTACAGCCTTTCATTGCCCCCAACCAGAACCTCTACATGCAGATTTCATTCCATCCTGCTTGGATGAGGTGAACAAATAAAACCTTTAAATCACACCAGCAGCAATAACAAAAACACAAACACATACAGCAAATATAATTTTGTATCAACATCAAGCACAGGACATCTTTATAGTGTTTTGCACTTGAAAAAATGCTTATTTTTAGGGTTCCTTATTTTACAACTGATAATTTTGACTGGATATTTTAGTTAATCTTTACAATAAATCCAACTATTAAGTAGGAAAACTAAGTCAAACTTGCCTGTTTTTGCACATAAGTTATTTTTTTATGGTTGTTTGTTTTTTCAAGCAGAACCTGAAAGTAACATATAAATGTTTAAATGTTTTCATTGACAAAAACAATTGAAAAACAAGAACTACCTCCAGACGCAAGCTGAAGCAGGAGCGACCACCAAAGGAGACCGCAGAGACACAACTCCTTCTTCTTCTCAGCAGAGTCCATTTTTTTTCTCCCTTTGGAAACAGCAATGTTCAGCAGACCTTGCCCTTCACATTTTTACCGAATCTTGTTTACTCCTTCGTGCTTCGGTTCCGTCCAGTTCACATTCAAATGGCTGAAAGTGAGGAGGAATGGAGCGCGTCTGTTCACAGCTCAGAGGGCCCCCAGAACTCCGCCTAGTGCGCGAATTTCAAAATAAAAGCTGGGGGGAAAATGATATATCCCCAAACTTTAGACCCTTCATATAAAAGGACTTAAATGTTTAGGTTTTTTTTTTTTAATTTGCTATTAACCCTACTGTTTGTATTTTAAAGGCAACATTTAGCGTCCGAAAAAAAAAGAATTATTAAGAAAAGCAGCTTTAATGCAGATATTTTTTCCTAATAAGAAAACAAAGCCCATTTGATTTTTTCTGTATATTGCGTCACCATATAGGTTGTTTGGTCTCTTCATGCATGAACAACTAGATCAGAATCAATAAAAAATAATTATATTCATCTCCATAGGGAAATTTAACCTTATGACAACCTCAGTAATGAAGAGAAATATAGCTACTCAAATATAATATAATCTGGAACAGAGGCGTAGGTAGAATTTTTTTTAAGGGTGGCCAGGCAATAACCAATGTACACTGAGGGGTGGCTGATAGTGGATAGGCGCCAGAACCTCAGGGTCAAACCAAAGATAAGACAAACTGTACTTTCCTACAGCCTTTGCTATAATAGACACATATATTTAAACTTTCTAGATAAAAGGCATAGTGGATACAATTCTTTCAGGTTTGAGTTCTGGGGTGAAAATCTTTTCTATTGTTATTACTTATTTACTTCTATCAATAATCATTCTGCATAAAATTGATATTCACAAGTACTAATATCTACACAAATGTATTATTTTAATACGTTTTTATGAAAATAGTTATTTATCTCTGATTTCACTAAAGACTCCTAGATGACTTGCATTTTCTCTTTAACCCATATAAGACAAAATCTAGTTCAGAAAAGAGCATGAATTCTGTACTTACCATCTTTAATGTTAGTAAATTGATGTGTATAATTAACCCCAAAACGACTCCCCATTCCTAAGGGGCAGACCTGATCTTCTGGTACAATTTGCATGTTTTCTGAGCCAAAACAAGTTTTTTGGCTACTATATAAAGCATCAAACTAAACGCTAACTCTGACATTTTGAATTTAAAAAGCTTCCTGGATGGGAAGCGAAATGTCTTCCAACTTGGAAACCAAATCCAGTGTTGTTTTTTTATAAACTTTATTTAAAATGATCAACTTTCGTTTTCGTCTCAAATTCTGAAGTGCATAAGTGGATCAATATGTCCACTAGGAGATTGGGAGATGCTGCGGGATGACATCATGGACGAGAATTGTCCTGTCTGCACACAAAACACAATAAAGCAAACCAAAAGTTAATCTTTAATATTAAATGAACTTCATTTCATATTTTATTTTAAAGCAAACTGATTAAAAACCATTGAAAAAGGAATGAGTTGAGAGTAACGGTTACCACTGTTTGCTGTGATTGTCATAGCATATCCAGCAATATGAATAAAATAATAATTATGTTATGTCCTTTCTTTGTCTGCAAAACAGTTTTTCACATACACAGGAATGGTCTATATGCCCTAAGCTGATCATCTTGTTACCGGTATTTTCCATTATGTGCATGACAACATCCAATATTTGAGGAGAGTAAAGAGGCTCTTTTAGATATATTAAACATTTGTTGTTAGGTTTAAGATCTGACAGTCTCTTAGCACTTAGCACAGGAATCGATTTTTTTAGGTTTTAGGTCAGTGCTAGTATTTTATACTAAACTATAAATGAAATAAAATGGCGAACAAGCTAACTTTTCTAACCATGCTCTGACATTACCTGTGGAGCTGTGACGTGTCTCCAAAAGCATTGTGCTAGTGCTTTGTGATATTTCATCCTAGTGCTAATTCCTCCAGAGGAAAGCATGTTGTTGATGTCATTTCCACAGTTCACTTATTACAATGTTTACAAACAGAAGGGTATTTCACCAATGTATTCTCTTTAACAGACAGAGACACTATACGGTTTAAGACTAAAATGATTTGTTTTATGCTATTTAACAAAGACCTGGTGATGTTTGGCATATTATTAAATGTGTAAATATTTACCTGCTTTCATATTGAAATACAGTTTGATGCTCTTAAACAAAGAGATGTGGCATTACATATGTACAAATTGTTATATTGCTATATTACTGGTTGCATTATTGATCTACCTTTCCTTTCTCTCACAACCCTGAGCCTTCTCTATGCACTAACAATATTTTTGCTTTTTATTGTGGGCTGTGCATGCACACATGTGAAACACAGGCCTGGAAAAGTGTTCTTCAAATTTTTCAACTCAGTGTCTTAAATCCTGCTTGAAACTATGGCTGGAGCTTAAGAATAGAATAGAATAGAAAATCCCTTTATTGTCCCACAATGGGGAAATTATTTAGCTTGAAAAAGAATTGTTTTGCATGGCTTCTTGCACATGTTGTAACTCCTTATATGGCAATTTTTTTTTATCAATATATCTTACTGAAATAATTACATGAATCTTGATATATGCCTAACTCATATTCCCACCTATACAATTGACTCCAGTGATATCTATCCATCTATAAAAAAAAACACAACCAACCAATAACTTTAATATTTCAATAAAGTCAATTCAGTGATTTATATACATTCAGTCTACAGCCTCTATGCTGAGCTCTGAGATTCATACACTAACACTCTCCTGTGAATGACATGAGTAAAAGAAAAAAGTAATATCCTTAAAGCTAGGAAGATATAAAAAGAGCATTTATTTATTAGACATTTAGTTAGATGTAGAGCTGCAAATAACGGTCACTTTGCTAATCGATTAATCTGTTGATGATTCTTTTGATCAATAATCGGATAATGAAAGTATAATAAATAAATGATTGAACTTTATTGATTTCACATTGGAGAAATTCATCTCTGCATTTAACCCATCCAATCGGGGAGCAGTGGGATTCCATTGTGCGGCACCTCAGAGACCCAGTCTGTGGGAGTGGGGCTCGAACCCAGAACCTCAGTGACCCACTAGGCCGCCACTCCCAAAGGTTCCTTAAAGAAACTTTATATAGAATTTAAACCAGGTAAAACTAAAACATTTCCACTTGAAGAGTTCTGAATAGAGAATGTTGATGGACAAAAAAAGTTTTAAACCCAAAAGCAAAAATTTCTTTTTTTTTTGTATAATTACTGCTCTAAGTAGGTTGTTCTTCCAGCTAAAGGCTTATTTTTTAATCTCCATAATCCATCTAATGATTAATCGATATCTAAATTAGTTGACAATAACTTCAATAATTGAATAATCAAGTATAATTTGATTAATTGTTTAAGCCCCTATTTAGATGGCAGCTAAATAATTCAAAATATTTTATTTACGGTAGTTTACACGTTAAACATCATCAAATGTTCAAATACAATGTTAATCTTTGTGTTTTGTGTTAGTTAAGTGCATATTACAGATATTTATGGACTCGTTGGCTGATGATTGTAAACCTCGACACTAAACACACAGGCTGTCAAAAGTTTCTCAGGATTTCCAAGAACTGCGAATGGAGACATACGAAGAGCGGATCGTAAAAGCGTCTACTTGGTAGCATGAGGTCAGTGACAATGTCAGTGTGACTGACAGCAGGAAGCAGGTGGAGAGACACCTTTACAGAGAGAGAGGAGAGGAGCTTATAGAACTTTGTGGAAGAGTCGGCCGGAACGACGATGTCACAACCCCCGTGAAGCAAAACGAACCGGGGCGCTCTGGAAGTGACAGGAAAAGAAAAGAGATGTTGACAAGAGTGGAAAAAATAACACAGGAAACAGATTTCAGGTTGCTTCTTGAGCGTGCCTCTTACCTCCTCAGCTTGTCAGCGCTAATGTTCTTTACTATGTGCATAGGTGAGTACGGGGGAAAGTTTTCCTCCCCATTCATGGCTCTTGACATGCAAGAAATAAATTCAATTCCTCTCCTCTGCTCATGTTTATAATGGTCCATGATGCTGTAGACGCCACTCATCCCTATTCAAGGACAAAACAGCAACAATTGCACAAAAAGGGGGTAATCTATTGAAATAGATGTAATGGAAAAATAATATTAATAATGATATCAATGGCATAACCCAACCACCAAATCTTTCAACTTTTAAAATAAAAAAATAATAATAATTTATTAAAACAGAATTCATTTTCATCAGGGAGTTTAAAAAAAAAAAGAGGTACGGATGTACATACCAATAACTCCCCTTAATGAATGTAGAATCTCCTGCTGTAGCTTTGGCTCTATCAGCAGCTCCTCTCGTGTATCAAGAAGAAGTAGGGTGGCCAGGGTTGCCAAATGAGCACCCGCTGAATGGCCAACTAAAACAATCTGATCCTAATAAGACAAAGAATGGGGTTTATTAAAAGCATAATCCTTTCCATGAACCTTGAAACTAATATAATAAAAATGGAATCTAAAGCAAAAGATTTTTTTTTTGCTTTAGGTTCCCCTTCGATAAAAGAGGCTGAGAATGTGTAGGGCTGTCGCGGTTGAGGAATTCCCTCTGCAATTATTCAAGGAGGCTAAATATCACAATATGTGATATTATTGCACCATCTTTTTTTTTTTTTATTCTAATCTATTTATTTCAAAAATGTGTTTGTATATTGTTAAATTACCAACTACATTGCAAAATTTTCTTTGAAACATGGCGATTAAATATTAAAAAAAGGTTATAAAAAAAAACATGCCAATTTCATTATATTGAACGCAGATCAAAGGGCAGTAATGGCACAGATCTGCATCATTTCTCCGACTGAACTTAACAAAATTCAGAAGAAGGCAAATTTGACTTCAGCATCTTTAATAAAAAAAAGGGGCGGAGTAACATTTGGTTTTGATATCAGTGCAGCTGCCATTGTATCCTTCTCAACTGTTGTCCCAAGATGCAGTGATGGTGGTGGCTGGTTTTGTAGCGCTGTGAGCTTCTTGGTATGGCGATATTTCATTTGTGCGGTTATTGTGACAGCCCTAAGAATGTGGTCCACTCAGACTCCCCTGGAATCAGGGTGAAGCTCTGTTGGAGGTGGGAGTTAAACAGGTCCCTGACTGAGAGCTCCACCAGACGTATACAGCAAACTCTCACTACTGGTTTGGGCTTAACGAGTCTGTCCAGCTTCATCTTCTTCCAGTGTATCCAGTTCACAACCAGGTGATCGCTGGACAACTCCACCCTTTTCTTCATTCGAGTGCCCAAAATATACTCCCCTTTACTGATCTATTAATGTTCATTTCTTTTCTTATAAAAACAACAAAAAAAATTGGACAGCAAAGGCCTTTTTTTTTTCCACAGAGTGTGAACATAATGAATTAAAAAATTTGCTCCCTTGAGGAATTATGGATGGAGCATATTTACAGACGAGTAAATTTTTTTTAATCTCATGTGGAAACCGTTTATACTTTTCACATAGCGTATAGTTTTTAATTACTCCTCTGATTGGGTTTGTTCTTTTAGAAAATGGCCAATATATGGTCTACTCTAGATAATCCAGTTAAATAAACTGTCACTACTTAGTTGATGATTAATTTTATAGTTGGCTAATCATTCAGCCCCAGACAGAAATCAACATGAAATTCAAACTCCTTTTTTATGACATTCATGTTGCTTCTTGTATAATTATTCCACGCAGCAAAAAAGGAAAAAATCCCAAAATCCAAGAAATGAAACTTACATTGCATTTATAGCCATGACAAATATGTGTAAAAACATGACCTTGGTAATATTTAGATTTAGGATATCCTCCAATACTATATACTATAGCTTAAGTCAGCTCTACTGTTTTTCAAATCTAAGGTGAGTCTTACTTTGTTAAAGACAAATGTCGGCGCATTCACTTGGGCCCAAACCAAACAGTCAACAACATCTTGGACCATCATTAGAACATTCCCCTGAAAATGAGATAAGAACCACAGTTTAACAAATCAGATCCAAATGCATTTTTTCATTATTTTGGTAGACAAATAACTGAATCTATGAACTGAAATAACTGCATCTCTTGGAGAGTGAGGAGTGCAGAAAGAATGGTTTTAGTATTTTTTTTAAAAAACTGTCGTCTGGGTCTACTGCTAATAAACAAGCTTAAAATGTCACAAACATCTACAGGAGACACATTTACACGAAAAAACAAAACAAAAAAAACCTTTGGGTAGTGGAGAGCCCAGAGGTCAAAGGCCCGGGGTCGCACCACTACCTAGAAGGAACCCAACGGGGCTAGAAGGAGCAGTAGACACAGGCACCATCATTTTTATTGAAACAACCCCACCAATGAGCGATATGCTTAGGGATTTCCATCTAGCAAGACAATTTCCACTTTTTTAAATAGTGAGATGTGGTTTCATTTGAATAAATCTACCAGTTTCGGAGAGATGTTGATGCCTAAATAATGTATATTCCCTGACAATAGTTGTTTATTGGGCGATTTTGAAACAACAATTAATATGTAGGACTATGGATCTTGACTAATTTATAGAATAATCTGAGATTGTTGAGAAAGATACTAACAATTTATTACTCCAGTGAGCGAGCTTGTTGAGTGCTGGAGAAAGAGTAATACGTCATCTGCATAAAGACTTACTTTATGTTCTACATTCCTGCATTGAATACCTTTAATATCATTAGTTTGCTTGATTGCTGCAGTTAGTGATTCAATAAAGATGGCAAACAATGAGGGAGAAAGCGGACATTCTTGTCAAGTGCCCATCTGCAGATGAAACCACTTTATGAAATCATTACCAAAGGGGAATTTACATAGAGAAGGAAACAACCTTAGAATTAACTTCCAATTAACTCTATTTAACACTTTTTCTGCATCTAGTGGCAATATGATCAGTTTTAAATGTAGTCTATTCGATTTATTAATCTGCATACATTGGTAGATGCATGCTTTGCCTTTCCTTTATGAAGCCAGTTCCATCTGAGTGGATTAAACAAGAAGTTCCTTTTCTAAATTTTTGGCAAGAGCTGTACAAATTATTTTAAGGTCAACATTAATCAGAGATATGGGTCAATAGCTGGTAGGATAGACAGGATCTTTGGTTTTAGCAGGAGACTAATATTTTGCAGAATTAATTTATGGTGGAAGTCTGCCCTTCTCCTCAGTTCCATGCAGCATTCTATGGAATGTTGGTTAAAGGACATTCCAGAATATCCCATAGAATCAAACTAGAAATCCATCAGGGACTGGAGCTTCTTTCTTGAGCTTGTCTTTGAGAGCTTCCTGGAGTTTAGCAGTCGTTAGTGGTGAAACAGCTTTTTATACTATCTGGATCGTAAACAGTTTTCCCTGTTGGTCTATAATTGAAGAAATAGTTATTCTTTTATTTATTTATTTTAAGCTGGTTAGCTAAAACCCTTCCAGCTTTTTTCTGAGAGTAAAGTTTCCAATACAAAATATAGTTTATTAAGATTTATTTATTTTTTGGTCAAGGATTTAATTGAATTCCTGTTGATTTTCTTTTCTCTTCTTATATGATGAGAATGACATTATTTTACCTCTCATCACTGCCTGTCCAGCCTCCCAGAGCAAAGATGCTGATGCTCCAGGGAGATCATTATATTCTAAATACAAAGTCCATCCTTCATTAAAATAAATAATAATCTACATCTTCAAGCAGTGATTTATTAAACCTCCAGCCTTTACTTCAATATTTTCTTTCTTAATTTCTAGGCATAAAGAAACAGGCACTGAGATTTACCCTAAAGCTGTCAGTGATCATGCTTCTGAGATGTTAGCCTGCAGAGAGCTAAAATCAGATTATGGGTATTAAAATGACGGGAAAAATGAGGGAGAAGTTTTTTGTTTATTTTTGCTCACCTGTTCCAAAAAAAGGGAGACAATGAGGAGGAAAAAGGCTTAAATGATGAGAATAAAAGAGGAAAAGTATAAAATGTTTGAATAAGAGCAATGCCAAGACCTGCAAAAGCTGCACCTTGCGTACATAAATGGGGAAATACATATTTTAGAATAAAAAGTGTTAGATATATTCTGTAATATAAACGGAAATTCACAAGAAACTGGGCATCCAAATGACCTCAACAATACTTGTGTAGATATTGAAAGCTTCTCTGACCAAACCCTTTCTTACTGTTGCATCGTCAAAGAGCCACTATTGCTTCGATATAAAAAGTTATTGGTGGAACCCTTGTTTGCATTCATCAAGGAACCAAATCATCTGAAAACTGGGCTTTCTTACCTTTGGATAAGTGGAGTAATCAGGACAAACAACAGCCACATTCATGTTTTCAGCCATCTGTCTCGCCAGTAAACAGTAAGTGGATCTGTGTCCAGTGCTCCATGCACCGCCGTAGACAAACACCACCAGAGGGGGAAGCCCATTCCTGTATTTATTTCTTCTAGGAGCATAGTAATAGTCCAGCTTGTTGCCTCTGCGGCCATAAACTATCCCCTTCCAAGCAAAAGATAGAATACTGGGTGTTAATGATATTAGAAAAGCTATTTACTAGGATTTATTCAAATTAATCATTTAACTTTTTAAAATTAGAATATCATTACCTTCTTGTGATGCTGACTGTTATTTTCGTTTCTATACCATGACTTAATCTGATAGTACAGTCTAAGGTAATAAAAGTATTTAAGAAGATCCATGGTGACAAAGGTCAAACGGTATATGCGCCTGATAGAATAGAAAAAAAAAAAAAAAATATGCCTGAAACTCTTCTTGTTAATGAAACCTGTCAGAATGATGACATTGAGTGTGAAGACGACAAG